GGGTGCCGGCACGGGCGGGGCGAGGTGCCAGGTCGATCGGGGGCGGACAGAACCCCCAACAGTGACACGTCGATTAGTGAATTGTCCGTTTTCGGTTCTCGAGATGGCGCCGTGGCCGTTATTTTCCAGGCTTGCGCCCGCCAGGTTTGGGCCTCAGGTCGTTTTCACTAAACCACGTTTTCCTAAAGGGGGGTCTGCCCATCCCCGAGTCGAGGTCGGTTCGGGGAGGGTGCACTGATGTTCTGCGTGTCCGTCCGAGGCGGGAGGTTATGCCTGGCCACCGCCCGGAGGGTCGGTTTTCGGAGCCTCGGCAGGCGGTGGATATGGGCATATTCGGGCCCACGGGGGCCGAAATGTATCCATATCCACGGCTCGCTGCGGCACCAGGGCGTCTGTTCCCAGGCGGTGGATATGGATAAATCCCTGCCTCGCAGTCTGTTGTCTTGTGCATCCTGGGGGAGGGAGCCCTCGAGTGTTCTGCAGTTCGGCCGGCGGAGGGTCTCACGTTCTGAAGGGATGTTCTTCTGTCGCAGGTCCGACTGTAACGATGCCCTCCCAAATCTCCCACCATTTTTCCTCGATCTGGGCCTCCCCAGGGAAGGGGTCGGAGCCTCCGGGGCCGCACATCGGACAAAAATCAAAAGATCGGATGCCTGGGTACGTTCCAAGGTTTCCAGGACCTCCTGTTGCCCCAGGCGGCCAGAGGCGAGTGGCCGAGTGCGAATGGCCGAGGGCCGTTGGAAGCTGTGGAATCTCAAGCGCATCGTGACAGCACAATCGCGCCACCTTCGGCGCGTCTCGCCCCTGGCAGAGCGTGGGCGGAAGCGAAGCGAAGCGGAGTGCCCGCCTCGAGGTCGGCGGCGGTGGAGGGAACGGCCAGGAATTTGTGCTCAGCGTGCCGCTCCGCCGGTCCTGGCCCGCCACACTTCGGCGCGACACGCTGTCCACGTATCGGGGGAGCGCAAGACCCGGGTTTGCCAGGACTCGGGTTCGCCATCGTTTTTTGACGACCGCGACTCGGATTTTGACGAGGAGGAGTTTCGTGGGATGTCTGCAGCGGGAGGCCTCGTCAAAATGCAGGCTCGGCCTCGTCATTTTTTTGACGACCTCGTCGGGGATTTCCGAGTCCCCCGTACCCGGGTCTTACGTCTCCCCGAACGTACACAGCCTTTCCAGGCCTCCCGCGGAGCGGAGCGACACGCTATCCGCTTGCAGGGCATCGTTTGTCGCCGGGGCCGCCGCCGCCACACACTAATCAGAAGTTCCCGACCGTAGCACTTTCAGGCTCAGGTCGTTGCCAAAAGACAGCAGCGCGGATGTAAGCAGGGAATCGGGGGGGGGGTCCAAAAGGGGGGGGATGATCAGGGGGAGGGGGGATATCATGGCTGGGGCCACGACATCTGCCTGGAGTTTGCAGCGCCCTTGTCTTCGTTCGACGCACCCCTTGGGCCCCCCCGTGTCCGCGAACATGCCCCGGGCCATGATGCGCCCCCCCCCTCTTCCTGGCCCCCCTCTTCGGTGCACCCGGGGCATGGTGGGCAAGAGGAGGAGATCCTCCCCTTTCCCTCCTCCTCGTCCTCCTCCTCCTCCTCCTCCTCCTCCTCCCTCCCTCCTCCCTCCTCCCTCCCCCCTCCCCCCTCCTCCCTGCCTCCTCCCTCCTCCCTCCTCCCTCATCGCTCCTTCCTCATCCCTCATCCCTCATCCCTCCTCCTCCTTCTCCTCCTCCTCCTACTCATCCTACTCATCCTACTCCTCCTCCCCCTCCTCTTCCCTCCTCTCCCCCCCCCCTCTCCTCCTCCTCCTCCTCCTCCTCCTCCTTCCTCTCCTCCTCCCCCCTCCTCCTCCTCCTCCTCCTCCTCCTCCTCCTCCTCCTCCTCCTCCTCCTCCTCCTCCTCCTCCATTTCTTCTTCGTTTAAATAAAGAATCTCTCCCTGTTGCGCCCCGCGGCCAGCTTTTTGGGCGGGGCGGGCGTTTCGCCTCAGACTTCCTCACCATTTATGACCCTGAAGCTTAAACATTGGCAAGAGCTTCACAGACGGAGAGCGGGTGATTTTCAAAATGTGGTTCTCGCCTTAGCGCCGCGCACATTCGTTTTCAATAATTGCAAGAGTTCTAGGGATTGAGGGTGGGTGTTTTTCAAAATGTGGCTCTCGCCTGAGCCGCGCACATTCGTTTCCAACATTTGCAGAAGCTTCACGGATTGAGGGCGGTTGGTTTTCAAAATGTGGCCGTCGCTTTAGCGCCGCGCGCATTCGTTTTAAAACTTCGCCGGGGCTTCAGGGACTGAAGGCGTGTGTGTTTTCAGCATGTGGCTCTCGCCTTAACACCCATCCAAAAAATGTGGAGGATGGAGCATCCCCCCGCGCACACGGCTCAATGTTCAGATTCACGCGCACGCCGCGGTTTGCAAAAGTGGGCGCTTTTGCCCGGAAAGATTTGCGCCCCCTTGGGCCCGAAGGTCTGGAGCTTCGGAGTTCGGGCCTGGGGTGTCGTCCCACGTCGATGTCTTTTAGAGATGAGCATGTCTCCTTTTCCTCAAAAAGGCCTGGCCCGATCCGGGAGGCCTGAATTGGAGGAGGGCCAGCTGAGACAACGGCGGCTCTCCCGCCTGGCCTGGGCCCTCGTCCCCCCCCCGCCCCTCGCCCTTGTGTTGGGGGTGGACTGGCTCAGGGGGGGGGGGAGCATCGAGCGCTGGAATCGGCGGTGCATCACCGACAGATCGGCGATGGGCCCCCGATGGCAAACCCACGCGTTCCTTGGCGGAGTGGGGCCATCGGGCCCTCATCGGAGACGAGCTTGGCATCGCTCGGACGTGTGCATTTTTCCTTCGGCGAGGACCATCGAGGAGCATCCTTGATCATTTGGCGGAAAAACCACGCACGAAACCGAAAAAGCACAGGGAAGGGACGTCCGAGCGATGGCCAGCGAGTGAACGACTGGGGGCCGATGCCTCCGGAGCCCATCCCCGCCCCCGTGGCCTTCGGGCCATGACCCGGGGCCTCCGGCGGCCGTTCAGCACGATGCAGGCACCCCCTGGAGAACGCTCTCGGCGAGGCGCGGTGGCCGGGGAGCGCCCCGAGGAGGAAGAGTCGCCGAGGACCGACGGAGACGCCCGAGGACCTCGCACCTCGAGGCCCGACGAGGACGCTCGCAGACCCTCGAGCGCGCCCGAAGGACAGCACGACCGCCCCCGTCTCGGCCGACCCGAGGCGACAGGGATGCGGCCCCGGGGGCCTGCCGCCTCTCCGCCGCCCCTTCCCTCCAGGGCGGCGCGTCCGCGCGGGGCGCAGGAGCTGGAGCTCCGCAAGGCGCCCGACGGCCTGTACTACCGCCGGTCCGAGTTTGTGGAGCACTTCGGGGAGCCTCGGGCCCGGAGTTTATATCCTTCCTGCCTCGTGCTTCTCCTCCGCCTCTTCCTCCTCCTCCTCCGCCTCCTCCTTCTCCTGGTTTCTCCTCCTTTTCCTCGCCCTCCTCCTCCTCCTCCTCCTCCTCCTCCTCCTCCTCCTCCTCCTCGTGCTCCTCGTGCTCCTCCTGTCGCGTTATTTTTATTTGCGAGGCAGAAGTTCGGCACGCCTTCCTTACTTCGGAACCCCGCGTTTTGGCCAGCGAGTTTCTAGGTAAATAGATACCTCCGTCCGGCTCGCTTGGTTTCTCTCTTTCGTCTCACCCCCCCCCCTCACCCTCCCCCTGGGCTTGTCTGTGATATCACTGGGGGAGGGGGAAGGTATCTGTAGTGATGCCTTCTCCACTAGGCGTCAGCTTCTCCTTCACCAAGCTAACCCTGCGCTCCCCAATTATGGTTACAGAGTTTGGGCTAGAGCGGCTACGGTCGCCGAGGTCGTTTTGGGCGCTCCAACTCTACCCGCGACTGGCTCCGTCCAGGTCCAGGGGAGCGGGGAGTGGGGGGTAAACCCCTCCCCGAAGGGGAAGATGGAGAGACTGAAGAGGAAACACCCTAAACCATCTACCAGAGGGCTGGTGGGACTTATGTCGTCGTCGTCGTCGTCGTTAGTCGTCGTCGTCGTCGTTCGTCGTCGTCGTCGTCGTCGTCGTCGTCGTCGTCGTCGTCGTCGTCGTCATCGTCGTCATCGTCGTCGTCAGTCGGCCGTCGGCCGTCGCTCGTCCTCGTCGTCGTCGTCGTTTTTTCCTCGTCGTCGTCGTGATCGTCGCTCGTTGTCGCTCGTCGTCGTCGCTCGTCGTCGTCGACGTCGTTGTCGTTGCTTGTCGTCGTCGTGGGCGCCGTCGGCGCTCTTCGTTCGTCGTCGTCGTCGTCGTCGTCGTCGTCATCGCTCTTCGTTCGTCGTCGTCGTCGTCGTCGTCCGCCGCCAGGGCCAGTTTTCATCCCCAGTTCATTTTTGACGGCATGTGGCCCGATCCGCCGCCCCCTGTTGATTCATCACAGGGGTGCCTGGCGTGCTGGATCCTTTCGGTTTTGGTTTTGTTTTTTTTTGGTCCAGAAGAACTCCCCCTGGGGCTTCGGCCCATCCCGGTGGCCACCCGAAAGGGATCTCAATCCCGGAAAACTCCCCCAAGACGGCTCAAGATGGCCTCCAAGATGGCCTCGTTGGCCCAAGACGGCCTCCAAGATGGTCCAAGATAGCCTCCAAATCCGCCCAAGATGGTCCAAGACGGCCTCCAAGACGGCCCAAGAGAGTCCAAGATACCTCCAAGTTCGCCCAAGAAGCCTCCAAGACGGCCCAACACGACCCAAGAGGTTTCCAAGAGGTCCTCCAGGAGGGCCCGAAGAGGCCAACATCATTGGTTTGCCTTAGGTTTTGAAAGAATTTCGGAATTTACTTTTTCTCGGCATTCCGACGGCTCAAGACGGCCCAAGAGGCCCCCAAGATCGCCCACGAGGCCTCCAAGATGGCCCCATGATGGCCCACGAGGCCCCCACGACGGCCCCAAGAGGGCCCAAGAGGCCTCCACGACGGCCAAAATGTCCTCCAAGACGGTTAGGATGGCCCCAAGATGCTTCCAATATTGCCCAAGATGCACCCAAGACGATCTGAGATGGACTCAAGATGGCCTAAGACGGCCCAAGAGGCCTCCAAGACGGCCCAAGAGGCGTCCAGGAGGTCCTCCGTAGCCATTTTGGTTCAAGCAATTGTGAATCGACTCACTCCAGATCAGTCAAGCCACACAAGCTATACTCAGTATTGCACACATACGTGAAAAAAAGCGAACCCATGGTGTTCATCATCGTTCACCTTGTACTATTCGCCAACTTCGCCCTGCCGCTGCAGGCAGTAACGCTGCAGAATGCAGCAGATGAGGCGCTGCTCAGGCGTGCTGGTCGTCGCGCTGCAGCGGGAGAAGCCGTCAGTCGCAATGGCATGGTAACTCTCCAGTACCTTATGGACCAGCACATCGCGTCGGAGACCGAGCTCCATCTCCGTGCGGACGAAACCTGGCGCAAGTACGCAAACCAACTTGCCGATAGCGGATGCAACTACAAAGGGGGGTTGTTGCCTTGCCCCAATGGCAACATCTGTTATTACCAAGGACACGGAGGTTTGAACGTGACAGCCACAGTGGAATATCGCGGGAACATCATCAAGACAGTCATAACCCCCGACCCAGATGCCGAAGTCGACATGCCAGAGATCGTGACGTTTATGGGGGCCAATACCGCCGACGCTCCTGCAATGTTGATGGATGTGCCAGCGGAATACCGGAGAACAGAGAACCCCATCATGCTGAAAATGTTTTTCGTGGAGGACACTGATAATGTCACTGAGGAGTGCCCTCATGACAATGAGCGCGTGGAGTCCATGGAAAACGGCAGCGTGTCGTACCGCCTTCAGAACAACACGGTCACATTTTCAACGCAAAGCCCAACCACGTTCATGGGCATGGCCTTCGATTTCGTCAGCGAGGCACCTGTGGGTCATACTCTGGCCTTCGAGATCCCTGTCGGGACGGAGATCGTCTGGGTGAGCCGTGAAGAGATGGTCGAGGTGCTCCAGTCGCAGGAGTTGCCGGCTTCCCTCGACAGGCGCTTAGAGGAGCAGTTACGCAAGTCTGCTTTGGCCAAGGAGATGGATGGCGCGCTCACGCAGAAAGGCAGCAGGCGGCGCAGGCGGCGCAGCCGGGGCTGCTCTTCCGGACAGACAGGTGCCATGGCAGGAGGTGCAGCCGCCGTGACCGTCGGAGTCGTATCTTGCATATTTTTTTGGATCGCTTGCTTCACGGCGTCGCCTTTCTTGGTGACGATGGGGACCATCTCGGTGACAAACGGTGCTTGTGACTGTTGGGCTAACGATGGCTCGGGAAAGACCGCTTGCGGGTTGGCGCGGTGAGCGGTGGCCGAACACCCTCGGCCCTCGCCCCAGGCGAAATTCTAGGTTCATAGCCCTGCTTTCATGTGGGGGCGAGGGCTGCGAGAGCGCAATGCCTTTCTCCAACAATAGCCGGCGGGCCCCCAGCGCGATCAGGATACGGGATGTGGGAGGGTAACTGTTACTACTTTCAGTGTAGGCAGTGGGGAGGGGGGGGGGCAGCCTCCACGCTCCGCGGGAGCGCTCGTTCCTCGGCGCGCTGTGCTCGCCCCCGGGCCCGCGGCCCGCCCCACTCCCGCAGCGCGAGGGCGTGGCGAGCGGAAGCGCTCCGTGGCCTCCCCTTTGACATCGTGCTCCTCTCTACTCTCCTCTTACGCTCCCAGCGGATCGGCCTAGTTTGCGAGGTAGAGGTATTGCTCTGAGACTTCTGTGCAAGGTTCGCGCCACTTTGCACCACTCTCAGAGAAAAAAAAAAGAGGCGTCCAGGAGGTCCTCCAGGAGGGCCCGAAGAGGCCAACATCATTGGTTTGCCTTAGGTTTTTGAAGAATTGTGGCATTTGTTTCTTCTCGGCATTCCGACGGCTCAAGACGGCGCAAGAGGCCCCCAAGCTCGATCGCCCAAGAGGCTTCCAAGATGGCCCCATGACGGCCCAAAAGGCTCCCGAGACGGCCCCAAGAGGGCCCCAAATCGGCCTAAGAGGCCTCCAAGACGGCCAAGATGGCTTCTAAGAACCCCTGATATGCCCCAAGAGGGCCCCAAGATTACCCAGACAGGCCCCCAAACGGCTTCCGACGGCGTCAACTCCAAGTGGCCCCCAGGAAGCCCCCAGGAGGCCCCAAGAGTGCCCCAAGAGGCGCCCAAGAGGCGCCCAAGAGGCCTCCTCCTCCTCCTCCTCCTCCTCCTCCTCCTCCTCCTCCTCCTCCTCCTCCTCCTCCTCTTTTTTCCTCATCCTTCCCCTCCTCCTCTTCGTGCTCCCCCACGCGTTCCCCGCAATCTTTCCAAACCGACTCGGGAACAACTGGCTCGATAGCTTGGCCAAGCTCTGGCCCAGCTGTCGGCCACAGAGGCGATTCCAAAGGGGCAGGGGGCGGCGGTGATTCGCCGCAGGCAAAATCGCCAGCTGAAAAACACACGCCGTCGGAGATTTGAGTTTCCCTGTCGCAAATCAAGCTTCTGACAGCCGTTCTGGACGATTCTGGCACCCCCAGACCGCCCTCGGCGAGGCGCAGCTGCTGGGCAGCACTCCGAGGCGAGAAAGCCTGCAGGAAACAGCGAGGGCTCACGAAACAATCCCTGAACTTCTGTCGTCGTCGTCGCTCGTTGCTCGTCGTCGTCGTCGTCGCCGCCGTCGTCATCGTCGTCGCCGCCGCCGCCGCCGTCGTCGTCGTCGTCGCTCGTCGTCGTCGTCGCTCGCCGTCGTCGTCGTTGCTCGTCGCCGCTCAGTGTTCGCCGCTCGCTATTCGTCGTCGTCGTCGCCGCCGGCCAGGGCGCGCAGCGCTGGGAGGCGGCCGCGGAGGGCGGGCGGCCCGCGGTGCGGCTGGCCGCGGCGCCCGCCGTGGACCGCGCGGTCCACCGCCGCCCGCTCGCCGCAGCGCCGCAGCGCCGCCGCCGCCGTCCTTCCTTCCGACGACGACGACGACCACGACGACGACGACGATCTCCTTGCGCTTGGCGAACTCAAGGTGCTGGCCTGTAGCGTTCGACGGCGACCCCCTCCTTCTCCCTGCTCCCTCCTCCTCTTCTCCTCCTCCTTGCCCGGGTTAGGGCCCGAAACGACAACGGCGACTTCCTCTTCCTTCTCCTCGTCCTCCTCGTCTTCCCTCTGCTCCTCCGACGACGACGACGAGGAGGACGACGACGACGACGGCGAGGACGACGACGACGACCGCCTCCTCCTCCTCTTCCTCCTCCTCTTTCTTTACGGTCGTCTCCTCATTCTCATTGGCTTCTCCACGCGGAGAGGCGCGATGCCATCAGCGGGTCGTTCCCCCCCTCGATCGCTCGTTCGACCGCCGAGGCCGCTCGGCAGGCCATTGACCTGCCTTTTGAAGGCACTGTGGTCAAACATCGTCGTAGAGTGGCTAGGTCAGGCTTGGGGACTTTCTCGAGGACGCTCCGCCTCCTTCTCCTGCCGTTTCTGCCGTTTCCCGCTACACAGCGTCGCCCTCCTTCTCCTGCTCATCCTCCTCCCTCTTCCGCCCGCCTGCCGCCGTCGCTGTGGACCGCGCGGTCGCCTCCGCCCCACCCCCGCCGCAACGCCGCCGCCGCCACGCTCAGGGGCAACGTTAGGGTGTTACAGGTTCGAGGTTTGAGGCTTGAAGTGTCGAGGTTCGAGGTTCTGAGATTCCCGGACGTTCTCATAGGGGGATCTGGGAAGCCAGGATCGGGGGCTTCTGCCCCGAGATCCTGGATTCCTCTCCTCGATCGGGGCCTCTGGGGCGCGCCACCAGGCCCCAGGACCAGAATTGGATGCTGGGCTTAAGTCGGGCCTGTCCTTCTACAGGAGGAATATTCAGAAATAGTCAAAACATAGTCTAGGGAGTATCGTTTGATTTTCGGTTATTTGTCCTGTATGTTTGATTTTTCGTGCAACATCCGCCTCTAGGGGGACATGCCCGACCTGATGCTGGGCGGCAGAAATTGGCCCCACGGAAGGGGTCGGGACCTCTGAGGCCGCGCGTTGGAAAATACACATCGTCGGATGGTTGCGGATACATCGGCCCGCGCTCAAGGTTTTCGGAAGATCTCCTCGGTTCTCGGCGGCTTTCCGGCCTCAGGATGCCCTCTGGCGTCTGCGCCTCGCCGAGAGCGTCCTTGGGGTGCCCAGACCGTCCCGAACGGCTGCCGCAGAGCCGCGCTATGGCCCGAAAACCAACACCCCGCCGCTCGTTCCCCCTCAATGCCGCCGCCGCCGCGTCCGTCGGCCACCGCCGCAGGGCCCACTTCCATTTGATTCGATCGATCGATCCGATACTACGCTCAGAATCCGACGATGTGGTTTGGTCCGTGCGTGGCCCCAGAGGTCCCGACTCCCGACCCCTTCCTTGGGGCCAGTTTTTCGCCCCGCATCCACGATGTATTGTCCAGGGCCCAGGAACGGGCTCCAGAGGCCCAAATCGAGGAAAACGGCGGTTGCAAGAATGAGATTAGGGACGATCGGTCCGATTCGATGCCGAGCTCAACAGGCTCGCTCCGATTCCGGTGGCCCAGCGATTGGCGCGGCCTGGTGCATGCCGCCGTCGCCTTTCATCTCGCCTCGGCCGCGCGTACCCACGGTTCGCTGCAGGTCTGTATGTTTGGACTCCGTGGATGGTGGCGCGCCTCTCCGTTCGGACCGCGCTGCCCTCGCCGTCGGCAGCTTGCCGCTTGCAGCTCACCTTCCAGTACCCCCGGTGTTCGGTGCCTGAGGCCGCCCTTGTGTCGAAGATCCTCTACGCCTGAGACCTCCTTCCGCGTTCCCCCGCCGCGGACGCCCTCTTCTGTCTCTCTTGTCTATAGTCAACGCGCATAGTAGGGATGAGCAACTTTCCGAGGGTGTCCTTGCCTCTTTGCCTCGTCGGTCATCTTCGGTCCATCCTCGTCCACTTTCGATGACCGGCCCCGCTCGAAGAGCCACGGCATGGGCGTCCAAGGCCCTTGCCTCTTGACCGCGCATCCTTACCGTATGGTTTAAGTGAGGTGTGCCCCTGCCTGGGGCAGCCCACTGGCTGTTCGATCGCGCTGGCGCCCGCCCTCCGACCACCACAGAAATATCAGCACGTCTGGATTCCCAGATCCCATTCTACTTCAGTCGCCTTCCTGTCTCAAGTGTCCATCGGATTTCCATCTTCCCTCTTCGTCAAGGGGAGGGCGGAAACCCGATGTACGTTCAGCGCTTTCCTACGTGATGCTTCTACCCACTTCTTCTGACGAACGGGTAAGGATCGAAGTTGTCGAATGCTTTCGTCGATTCGCGGCGGCTCTCAAGCTTCCGGTTACCCTCCAGCAGCTGTGCCGCGTCGAGGGCTTCCTGGAGGCGTCTGGAAGACGAACGATGACGACGACCCTCGATCGTTTGCGGACGTTTTTGCTAGTGCTCTTAGGGTTTCCAGCCTCATAATGTTTTCCAGCATTTGCGCCTCGCCGAGAGCATTCAGGAGTTGCCCGGGTCGTCCCGAGCGGCCGCCGAAGGCACGAATTATGATCAGAAAGCCAGGCATCTTTGAGTCGTGGAAAGTTCTAGACGGCAGTTTTGGCAGTTTCTGTCGGCCTCTCAGCATGCCGTCTGCGCCTGCAGTGGCAGCAGGCCCCGAAGGCGCCATCTGGAGCGCGAAATTCGACACAGTCGAAGCATGACCGCAAAACGTCGGTTAAGAAGATGAGCCTCTTCGCCGGAAGACCCAAGGGCCCGTAAATTCGAGATGCTAGAACCAAAACATATTCCAACCTATATACCTGGCGCTTCGCTGTTGTACACGACGTGTGCCCCCAAACCTCTTTACCCCTTCCCCCGGGCGGGCTTGACGCCCCGAGTCGTGTTTTAGCACCCCCACGCCGGAAGCTGGCCTTCAGATGCCAAAAATGACGACAAAGTTCTTTGCGAGGGCGGTGAGGCAGAAGTGCTGCTCCAGCGGGTGGTGATCGGGGCGACCGATACGCGAATTGGCCGGCGTGGGAACTCGACAGACGGGGCGGCCGCGAAGGACGGGGGAGAAGGTGGAGGGCACTCAGACGCGGAATTCCATGTTGAGTGCGTTGGCGCGGCCAGCAGCGGCAGAGTGTTTTACGGCCTACAGCAGCGGCCAACAAACAGGCCGCCCCGAGTTTTTCATGGTATCAGATTTTTGGGAATGTCGAGATCCGATCGTGAAGAGCACCAGGGCACCCGTCCAAAGCTGGGGGTGGTTCTAGCCTTCGTGCCAGCTGCGATTGAGGGTGACGAGCAGCAAATTGCCGTTGGGCCGTCACGCAGCAGCGCGCTGGGCCATGATTAAAAGGTTGGGTTCAGGGCCTGGTCGTGAGCGTCGTCGTAGTTATTGCGATTATTTGATCGTCTCGTCCTCTACCAAAATCTTTCCCAGCGCCAGACACCTAGTTGTGTGATCGCTCCTCCGTTTCCTGTCCGCCAGCCTGCAACTTTCCAGAAGAATGTCTTCGGCCTTCCGAGCTGCTTCTCGTCCAATCTCCTTCCCTGGCTAGGGGGGCGCCATTTATACACC